GGGGCGGTCCGCGCTGAGCGCCGCGCGCTGTCGCCCCGCAGGAGGAGCTGCCGCTGCCCCTGGAGCACTTCCTGCAGCGGATGGCCCGGAGACCCCGGCCCCAGCAGTTCTTCGGCCTCATGGGCAAGCGGGATGCCGGTGAGCGGGGCGGGGGGCTGGCTCCCTCTCACGCCTCTCTGCATGCCTCCCCTCCCAGCGCCGCTCCAGGCATCACCGCGGTTGCCACTCGCTTCTAGTCCGTTAAACCTTTCTCAGAAGTTGCGATATGGGCGGTTTGGGTTTGTTGTTTTTTTTTCAAGTTTATCAGATAAACTCACCGATTGGAAAAGAGTGGGCTTCGCATTACAGTGCTAAGTGCACACCAATTACAGCACGTAAACACTGGTAAGGAGTATCATGGTAATTCATGGGTCGGCGTATGTGCCACTGAATTGCCTGAGTGTGGGAATCGGTTGTGTATGCAATGATTGCTGTCATTTATATGTGTTTACTGATCCAAGAATTAATCTAAGAAATTGGAGCTAAACAGATCTAAATTGCGTGGGTTCAGCTAAAACAAGTTTTTGTAGTTTCTTCAATGAGAAATGCGGTTGTAAATGATCACCTTAATTTCCCTTAAGTGGAATATGCATAGGGTAGTTCCTGCATTTGATTCTTCAAAGCACTGTAGTAGCATCATATGTGTATGCCAATCCTTTTTCAACAACTCTTTTTCCTTTTTTTCTCTCTCCTTTCCTCTTCCAATCAGGATATGGCCAGATCTCTCACAAAAGTAAGTTAAAACAATGCAGATATTTTAAGTAATTATTAGAAGATATTTGAATAGGGAATGATGTATTTGAGGGGATTAGTTAGAAGGTGACTGGGTTCATCTAAGGACTGGCAGCACTGGTGGTGGAGAAATGTTCTGTTAAAGGTTTGAAACCCCCAGTGCAGCCATGAGCCTGTATCTCATCTGAGCCACCACAGGCTTTGAAATTTCAGTCTACATTAATGTGTGGATGTTGCAGCTCACTCTTATTTCCCTACGGGGGGATTCTGTAAGGCTTTCTCATCGGCAAGGCAGACTTACTGCCAGACTCAGAGAGGAGCAATTAAGATGGCAAAATCTGGAAAATTAGAATAGTGAATTCCCAAATCCCTGAGAATGATTCCACGGGACAGCCCATGTCATCACATGTGAGATCCTGTATCGGTGCTCTCAGCATTGTCTGGGTGGGAATCAGAGCCGTGCTCACAGCAGGGGCTGATTGATGATATGCTGTCATATAAACAAGCATTTCTTGCCCCGTTAATAAGTGTGCCTTGCTTTGATTCTGTGTATCACCAAGCGGGAGATGGTGTCAGCAGTGTGGTGTTACCTTGTTCTGCACAGTGATGGCTTTGTTCTCTGAATTTATCTGAAGATGCTTAGGCAGGAGCCAGAAGGCTTTTGATAAGTACAAATGATCTTATATTCTGCGAGACCTCCTCTTTCCACAGAGGTCAATAACTGTCCTGGTGTTCTGTTAGCCACACGATTTTATCACTAGGATTGTGTACTGGAAGATGAATTAAAGAGTCTAGTACAAAGCTCATGCCAAATAACCTGCTGACTAAAGTAAAAAAATTATAGCTTTCTGAAACTGCTTCAGCTTGAATTGATACCTGTGAGGTCTGAGGATCATTCATCTTGCTTTGTATATGAATTAGCCAAGCAAAATTCTCTCCAAACAGAAACTTCTAAGTTTTCCTCAAAAGTCAGCTTAGAGAAAGAAGAACGGCTCCTTTTTGTTCCTTATCTGAAACTACAGCTACCACTATATCTGATGAATACTGTAGGCCAAAACCTGGACTAGTTTATCCTCTACACATCCAATGCTTTGAGGAGTGCAAATGGGACAGGAAGGTAATATCTGAGCTCATAAATATTCCAAAAATAGAGCCAGACTGTCTGGCTCAGACGTGTCCAGACAGAGAGTCCCATTGGCTTCCTCTCCAGTAAGGGCTCTGCCTGACCTGTGAGGAAGATTTTTCTTCCACATTACAGAAAAAAAAAACCACGAACAGGTAGAAAATATGCATCACAAAGATGCAGGCTATACCAAGACACTGCCTTCTTGTTCATTTGCTCAAATCAATAGGAATTGTACTGGGAAAGGAATAAGAATCAGTTATTGGCCATTGTTTTTCCATTATACTTAAAAAACAACCCTACAAAACAAAAAGTCTGAGTTAATGGGAAGATGTCCACTAACTGGCCTGTGCCTTGGTCTAACCTGTTTAGTCTGATTAGTCAGACTGATGTTTGTTCTCTATTGTCTGAGAGTAGTATGAACAACTAGTCTCACAAAAGCACATTATCTTAAAAGCCTGCCTATTTAAAATTTATTAAAACACCCCCAAATATATTTTTTCAGGGCATAAAACAGACTCCTTTGTTGGACTTATGGGCAAACGATCTTTAAATTCTGGTATGTATATGACAAAATCTGGTATTCTGATATACAGCCTCTTCATTCTGTTGTCTTTGCTCTCTCCCAGTGGATGGAAGAAGCAGTCTTTATGTAGTGTAGACCCAGAGTTCTCTGAAAAAGCATCACGATTTTCTTTATTAACCAAGATATTTCAGAGGCCGCTTCACTCCAATGCTTGAGATGAACAGGCTGAGCTGTAGGCGAGGTCAGGCAGAAGTCCCCATGGCACTTTCCTTACTGCCCTGTCCCTGCCAGCAGCACGTTCTGCCGGGCCCCAAAGTGCTAATACAAGAAAAAACTAAATTTTATGGACACATCAAGAAAGATTCAGAGGCCCAAAATGTAAAGCTCATTTAAATTCGTGATCGAAATCCAGATCTCACCAGGTAAAGGGATATCCTCATCACCTCTGGAGATGATTATTCCTCAAACTTGGAGCACGTGGAAGAGCAGAGCTCTGCCATAAACACCACCTCATCCTGCAGGTCAAGCTGTTACACATTCCCAGTCTCTTCCAGCTTTTTGTTCTACCTAAAACAAACAAAAAAAATAGCAATGAGCATTTTAAGCTTTGAACTGATACTGTGAATTTAATTTCTTTTCCCATAGCATCCATATAGGGCAGAGTCCTCCTCCCTCGCGTGTACAACCCCTGCGGGTAACCGCAGGCTGCCAGTGGCTCTGCCTTCCCTGTCCTGTAGGGCTGTGCTGAGGAAATCCCTCACTGTGAACCATACAGTATCAGTTAATTCCCCAGAATAGGAGTTTAAAAAAAAAAAACAAAACACAATCTAATACGTATTTCATGTCTCTGAAATAGTTCTCACTGTTTTGTTAAATGGATGATAAAAGTTAAATTACTAGCTGACACCTTTATTTTATGTGGATACACACTGTGATCTATATTCTGCAATTATGATTGTCAGTAACTTTTATTTTCAATTAGACCCTGTTCAGACTAGTAATATTGCTCTCTGCATCATTTTGCAAATTGCTATGTATCATGAATAATTTTGTACAATTTTATCTGTGGTGGCAATAGCTATTAAATGCATAATACCTGTAAATATATCTGCTATCACAAAAGTAAATAGCCTGGAAGTAATAAACTGGGTTTGGTTTCCATTGAGATTACATTTACATTAATATGAGAATGTAAAATACAGCAAATATTTTAAAAAGGCAAAGATTTGATTGCTCTTGCTTCAAAATTGCTCATATGGTCGGGATACTGTTCTGTGGCATTTATAACAAAGGGGAATAATGAAGTTTTGCCATCGGGCTATGTAATACCTGCCTGACAGGTAAAACTAGAATTCACTGCTTTTCTGCCCAATTCCCTGAAAGGCAAATGTTAAGAAGTTGCTTCTGCTCCTCTGGAGGAGAAGATAAATCCCAAGAGCTGTGTAATCAAAGCAAGATCAGGAGTATGTGGGAGAACTGTCCTTACGTCTCCCTGCTGAAATATAACTGGGCAGGACCTTGTCTTGGTGCCGTGCCTTGGTCCTGTGGTTTTCTCCTGCAGAAAGCCCCTGAGTCCCCTGGCAATGTGTCGGAGTTCACACAGCCCCGCTCCGCGGAGCTGATGTAAAGCCTCGTGTGACGAAGCAGAGCACCGGGATGCTGCGCTCTCAGCCCCTGCTTTGGTAAAACGGGGTCTGGCACCGACTGTCTCCCAGGCTGTGCAGTCTGTCGGGTGAACACTCCAGGTAGAAGCTAGAAAGCAGTTACATGTATAGTAAAAATACTGTAACAATCCATATTGAGAAAGAAAGCTCAACTCATTTTCCATTTAGCCTGGTGAGAATTGAAGTCTTATTAATTTAAAACTGTCACTGATCCAAAATGCCAGCTCCCTGCAGGATGCAGTGCTGACTCCCCCCAGACTAGCTGGGTGTTTGCATGCCATAGTCAGGCGTGTGTTCGCTCTGTGAAAGCAATCCTCCCTTCGGGGTGGAAGCCAAGATGACTCTGGTGACCAGCTACGTCATCCTGTGGTCAGGCTCGGCCCAAGAAGGGCTCTCTGGGTTTACCTCTCATTTTAAAAGAGCAAGAAGGAGAGATCTACTGCTACTAAATGCTAAATAGGTTACTGAAGACTGTTTTAGGCTGCTGTTAGTCCACAGGGTAGCCTGAGGTTTGCTTAACTCCTGCTGCAGATTTTAGTAAAAGGCATCACTGTGTGCAGGGCTTGGGAACAGGGAGGGTTTAAACCTGGCAAAGAGCTGACTGCAGGACAGAAGGTGGACATGTCGATGCAGAAAGCCTCTACCCCCAAATGGATCTGAGTGCTGAGATTCCGTCAGTTAGATGGATCACAAGGAGGTAAAGAGGCTGTGAGATAATGGTCCTTCAAGCAGCTTGACAGATGAGAGGTAGAAAGCACTGCTCGGCCCTTCAGCCTCCTGGAGGACAGTGTAATGTGAGGGGTAGAACCAAATCAGAGCAGCTCAGGGTTGGGCAGGGAGCTCTCGTCTCGGTTCCAAACCCGCTGTGGGGTCTGGCAGTGATCCAGCAGGCTGCAGGTCCCTGATGCTTCCTTGTGCTCGCTGGGCTTTATGCAAGGCTGCACCATGAGCTTCATTCTCCTTTGTTTTTTGCAGGATCCTCTGAAAGGAGCATAGCACAGAATTATGAATGGAGGCGTAAATGAGACATTCCCGTGCATTATTTATTAAACTTCATTTGTTCCAATGGCCAATGCAGTGTAATATAAAGTAACCACTGTATGGAATATTTATTTATTTAATAATAACTGATGGGGTTTGGGGTTTTTTTGAGTTCAATAAAATCATTCAATAAAATGGTTATTTTTCATATTGTGGCAGCGATACATGTTGTGTAGGTGCGTTGTGGTTCTGAAAGGACCAGCAACCCTGGTGACGTCTCACCACAAAGCACATTGTTTGATATGACCCATAAAGTTATGTTCACTAAACAAAGAAAATATTCTTTTGTTCATTGAAAGCAAGTCTATCAGCTTCACAGCCAGTGCAGAACAGAGCTGATGTACAGTCTAGTGCCTGAATTTGTTTTCATGGTTTATAATGTACTGTAATTTCCATATCAAAAAATATATTTGTATCATTGCAGCATGTTTTACGTTTTGTGACTACGTATCTAAATATTTTAAAAAGCAGGGGTGGGTAAGGTTTGAATGGGAATCCGAGGTCTTCATTTCATAGTCTGGAATTTTATGATAGTAACATTTTAAATAAAAACTGCTCTGGGGATTTTGCAACATACTTTCTCTGGTGATAGTGATGGAGTTATTTCTCACGTTGGTCTGGAATGAAACTTGGATCCAAGCGACAGTGGTCTGAGACTGGAAAGAAATATCACATCAATGGCTTGCTTTTTGCAGAGAGGCTGTGAGCCTCCTAGTGTGGGTCTGGTGAATGTTTGGGGGATTTGCTACTGGAGACAGGTGTTCCTGGGATTTCCCAATGGAAATCAAGAAGTGTGTTGACTGAATGAAAAGGGTCCTATGTATCCCCCAGCTCCAAGTGGAATAATTTTCTGTGGAATTCATCCAATATTGCAGGTTTATTATTTGAAAGCCAAGCTTTTAATAAATTCTACACCTCAGATTCACAATAAAAGCACCTGTTGGCTTGAATCCATGCAATATAAGAGAAAAAAATGTGAGTGAAATCATCTTTTTAATTAAAATGTCTGGTTACTGTATTTCCCGGACAGTCCCAACATGCTCCATACATCTCTCCAAGATGCCAAGGCATCTGGAGATCTATATTCTTTCTACCTGCTAAAAGCTATACTTCTCTGTTTGATGTGATTATAGGAGCTTTCATCACAGATGACTCAGCAATGAAAACAGCCAGCGTATACAAAACAGACTTCAAAATAAGTAATACGAAGTGATTAACTGGTGGTTGTTTTCCATTTTGGAAGTGAATTTGGCAACCTCCATTTCCAAGTTTGCCTAAGGCATCCCCACGACTGCACCCATTAAGAGAGGGTGGGTGTAGGACCTCCCTCTTGCTAGGTTAGGAGCATCACCTCAGCCTGCCCATGCTTAAAACAGACCCCACTTCCAACTAAGTAGCAGCAGGCTCTAGTGAGGTGGGGGGCTACATGGTGGGAAAACTGAGGCAGATTTCCAACAGGGACCACGCTTGTGCGAGAGACAGTGGTAGTACTGGTGCTCTGTCAGCTCTTTGTCTTGCCAGGACTAATTTTCAGGCTAATAAACTTCTAGATGAGCTCCCACTGAGCTCAACGAGGGAGGAAGCTGATTGCTAGGCTAATAGCATGGCAAAAGGACTGTGGAAATGTGTGTTGGATAATGCTCAGGGAAGGGTAAAAAGAAACAAAAAGCTTTAAAATGCTGCTCCCCAAGCCTGGAAGCCGACGGTGCTCCCAGAGCTCACAGCTCCTGTGCGCTCCATTGTGAGACACAGAGAGGAAGAAGAGGCCCCGCTGCTTGCTCCCTGCAGCCTGCTTGTCTCACAAACCTCCCCATGGAAGCCACCACTGCAAACATATTTGCATCCAGAGAAAGGCATGCAAGACAGAGTGGGTGTTCAGTGTTTGGAAGACAGGACAGATAGTAGTTAACAGCATCCAGCAAAGGGTTGAGGCTGAATTTCCTGGCAAAACCATAGAATCATAGAAAGCTTTGGGTTGGAAGGCACCTTTACAGATCATCTAGTCCAACCCCCTGCCATACGCAGGGCATCTTTCATAAGGTCAGGTTTTTCAAAGCCCCATCCAACCTGATCTTGACCATTTCCGCGGATGAGGCATCCAGAACATCTCTGGGCAACCTGTTCCAGGGTCTCACCTTCATTGTAAAGAATTCCTTCCTTAAATCCAACCTAAATCTACCCTCTTTCAGTTCAAAACTGGTGTTCCTTGTCCTGTCTCTACAGGGCCTAGTAAAAAGTCTCTCTCAGTCCTTTTTTTTTAAGTCCCCTTTATATATTGAAATAAGGTCTCCCCAGAGCCTTCTCTTCTCCAGGCTGAACAACCCCAACTCTCTCAGCCTGTCTTCAGAGGAGAGGTGCTCCATCCCTTT